TGTATTTTTGTGTGAATATAACACTGGAGTATATGGCAGTTAAGATAGATAAGCTACACCTAATATATCAACACATATACTTCAAAAACAATGGTGAACAAAAAGGCAAGATGCAGAAGATACCTACAAAATAATGTATATGTAAAGCTCATAAACATGAAAAATAATACAATATGTCCAAGTATAAAAATTTACAGAGGAACATAAATACAAAATTTAGGATAGTAGTAACTTCTGACAAGGGAGAAGAAATAGGATGTAGAACAGTACACAAATTGTATGTTTAATGCCTTCTTTATTTAAAAAATAAACTGATAATATAAAACATTAAGATTTAACTAGGTGGTCAGTATATAGCTCTTTGTTATACTTATTCCTTCTGCTTTTTTATATACTTTGAAGGGGAAATATTGAAATAATTTATGATAATAAACAGCTAGCCTAACAGAGGAAGCAGGAGTCAAATCCTGTGTGGACGTCTAGCATCTGTGAGCCAATGTGGACCTCAGAGCATCACTTTGTAACCCTTGATTTAGAAAGTCAGTCCATAACTGTTGACAAGTAACAATGGCATTGGGACCCATTACCATTGGTAGCATCGTGAGTTGGTGCAACACCTTCTAAATGTACACTGTCAAAAACTATAAAATTATTAATATTCACTGACCCACTAGTAGGATTCTGGAAATTTATTCTAAAGGATAATAATTCAGAGGAGGAACAAAACTTTTATGCATGAATAACTTATGGCACTATCTATAATTTGAAAAACTGGAAACAATTTTAAATATCTATCAATGAAGGATGCTCAAGTAAGTTACAGTATACTAACTGTATAAAATATTATAACACCATTAAAAGTTATTTTGAAGACAATATCAAAGCTGGCAAATGGTTATGGGAGAATGTGTAAAATACGAACTAGGAAATTATTTGTAAGGCAGTATTATAACTATAAAAATACATGTGTATTTCAACAAAGACTGAACAAGAATAGATGAAAAAATGAAAACATATAACTTGAAATTGTGAGCAATTTAAAATTTTTTAAATTCTTTATTAGTTTTACTCTTAAAGAAGTTGGACTGGATAGAGTTGAAAAATGATACATTTGAGAAGAATGTTTGAATCACTTTGGTTATGTTATTTTGGAGATAGTATGCTAGGATACTTTGTTGTGATTTTTATCTTATACTTTACTTAATTTTTAAATTTCAGCCATCGGAGATAGAAATGGAGACTCAGATACATCTCTATGGTCACACAGAAGAGATAACCAGCTTATTTGTTTGCAAACCATACAGTATACTAATAAGTGTGAGCAGAGATGGAACCTGCATCATATGGGATTTAAACAGGTACAGAAGGTCTCCAACTCAAACACAGCTATTTTTAATATGTCAGTTTTTACTATATGAGATAAAAACACTAAAACAATATCTTTACATTATAATAATTTTAAGCATGAAGCACATGCTTAAAGGTAATAAGATTACCTTTATAATTTTACTGAAATCAAAAGATCAGATACGAAAACATTTATGCTTTATGAATAATGGGTACATAGACTGAGAAAAAGAATTCTAAAATAGCATATAATTATATTTAATGATCATATGAAAATTCATATCTTTTGTCTTTTAGGTTGTGCTATGTACAAAGTCTGGCAGGACACAAAAGCCCTGTCACAGCTGTCTCTGCCAGTGAAACCTCAGGTGACATTGCTACTGTGTGTGATTCAGGTGAGCTTGCCCTAGACCTAAGCACAGGGCTGGGTGGTTACAGCACATTTGGCAAGGTGGTTACCTCCTAGGTTGAGCTGTTGGACTTTGAACTCTCTCAGGTCCCTGCCAGATCTAAATACTTTGGCAAGAGGATGTATGTGTATTGAAATACAATAAGGTCCAAGACTTGGCTCATCAATTTAGGCATCAACTTATGCAGAAGTTAGTATTGTCATAATTAAATTCTTTTCCTGATATATGTAAAATTGCATTTGAGCACATATAAGTTAACCAAATTACTGTTACATAATTATCTGAATTTTCTTGGTTTTGGTTTTTCTATCCTTTTTTGCTTCTGCTTTTTAACCATTCACTTTGTTACCTTCCTTCTGTCAAAGAACAAAATTTTAACAAGTTAAGTTTAAAGATTGAATTTGCTTTTATTAGTGATTCATGAATTGGGCAGTATTCCATCTATGAAATAGAAAGGTGCTCCAGTGAGCTGAACAGAGGAGATGGGCTTTATAGGCAGAAAAGGCTGAAGAAAGCAGAAACAAGGAACAAAATGTAAATTGGTCATTTCAACATTACTTTCCTTATAGGATTAAAGCAGAGAGGATTTCCTTACCAGGCAGGCTCAAGTTGACTGGGCCCTTGGTGATTGAATGCTGTGAGTCTCCTATGTTTTAGAAAACTGTCCCTTTTTTTTTTTTTTTGAGACAGAGTCTCACTCCGTTGCCCGGGCTAGAGTGCCGTGGCATCATCCTAGCTCACAGCAACCTCAAACTCCTGGGCTCAAGCAATCCTTCTGCCTCAGCCTCCCGAGCAGCTGGGACTACAGGCATGCGCCACCATGCCCAGCTAATTTTTTCTATATATTTTTAGTTGTCCAATTAATTTCTTTCTATTTTTAGTAGAGACGGGGTCTCGCTCTTGCTCAGGCTGGTCTCGAACTCCTGAGCTCAAACAATCCGCCCGCCTCGGCTTCCCAGAGTGCTAGGATTACAGGCATGAGCCACCGCGCCTGGCCTGTCCCATTTTTAAGTTCAGTGTTATTACATGACACCTAGCATGAGTGACTCCATTCTGGTTTGGTCTGGTGTGTGGGGGCCTCCCGCAGGAGCTCAGTCCAAAAGAAAGGCCTCCCATAAATTGTATTTAACACTCCTGACTAAGTGAAAAGCATGAGCAGATGACCAACTTTGAATATGTCTTCCAGTTCCTGAGAGGGAACAATAGTATAGAATAATAAATGGAAGTATTAATTTGCCTTAAAAATTACGTGATGAAGATATTTCTCAATCAAAAGTCTTGTTTTTGTTTTATGTTTTTCATGTATGCATGTTAAAGAACCAATGCATCCAGCAGAAAAGTTGGAAAATTCATGAAATTTGCATTTCTATTTTTAAGGATCTTAAAATTGAAAGGATCCTTTGAAAAACTATTTTTTTCTTTCCATTCAGTATAGAATATCTTTCACACATCTAAGTGGGTAGTCCTCTATCCTTTGCTTTCATTTTTTATATTGTTTGGTTTTTTTCTGACACCAAGTGTATGGTGTCTTTCCAAACACCAGCCAATTGTCTGACACCAAGTCGGTGTCCAACAGTGTCATTCATTCTGACACTACTTGAAGTTAGCAAATTCGGAGGTTGGCATGCCTCCCCACCAGGTTCAGTAATTCTCTAGAACAACTCACAGAACTCAGTAAAACACTATACTTACAACTGTAGTTTATCATAGAGGATAGAAATGAGCATCAGATGAAGAGATGCTTAGGGGCAAGGTCTGGAAGGGTCCTGAATGCAGGAGCCTCTGACCTCGCAGAGTCAGGATTGTGGAGTTTGGGTGCAGCACCCTCTGGTGTGTGGATTTCTTCACCAACCCGGAAGTGCTCCTAACCTTGTCACTTAGGAATTTTATGGAGGTTTCATTACATAAGCATGATTGATTAAATCACTGGCCATTGGTGACTGAGCTCAATCCCCAGCCCCTCTCCACTCCTTGGAGGTAGGCATGGAGTGAAGTGGGGCGTTGTCTGAAAGTTCCAGTTCTCTAATCATGTGGTTGGTTTGTCTGGTGACCAGCCACCATCCTGAAGCTACCTAGCCCTCCCCCCATGAGTCACCTCAGTGGCATACAAATGTCAGTGAATTCCAAGGGTTTTAGGTTTTATTTTTTAATTCTATTACAGAACTCTTGGAGTTTTGTTGTTGCTTTTACAAAATATTCATTAAGAACAAACAGTAAGAATAGTATTCAAGAAAAGTAACGTCTTCAGTCATGATTTAAGATTCCAGATGTGGAAGTATTTTTGCCAGTCTTAGCCTCCAGTCATAAAATAATGTCATTAAAACATTTTTATTTCCTAATGACTATAACTAAGGGAAAAGATCTCACGTAAACAATTGACTTTGGTAATGCAAGTGTGAGCAGACGATTGATGATTTTGCTGATTGTTCTTCCTTGACTTGTGCATTAGCAGCTCTTAGTGTGTCACATCAAGAGGGATGCTGGGGAAATAATAGAATGATTTTTTATACAGAGTTCTCTACTTTCTGGTTTTGGCAGCATTTGAAAGTTAGGACTGATCCTGAGGGAACTGAATTTTGTAAAGTTAATTACTTTCTTGCTGCCAGTAGTGATTTATATCTGTGCTATTATATCAGCTAGTCATATGGGAACTAGAAACAAAATTACTTTTGCTGCAATTACCAACTCGCTAGTAGGGTACTCAGGTGTCCCTGGGTAGTGCACACAATGTGATAGAGTAATGGGTAAAACTTTTTTTCCAATTTCAACCAAAAGGCTTTCTCTCAACTTTTTTAAGGCCTCTTGATACACATATAAAAGGAATCTTAAAGAGCATTTGGTATATAGAGAACATAATTTTTAAAATTACTTTTTAAAAGAGGCCAAACTCATGTTTAGTGACTCAGCCTAGAGTTCATCGTATTTTCTTATAGGCCAAGAAAGGAAGAAAGTTAACAGATTTAGCCTACCAAAAATCTTGACTCTTTAGTGGGTACCTTACGAGTAATGTTAAAATCAAAATTAAAAATAAATAAATATATACGTATATACATATTTTGGCACTTTGTGTGGGTTCCACATCTGTGGATTGAAAAGATTTGGGAAAAAAACAGATGGTCATGTCTGTACTGAGCATGTAAAACAGAGCTTTTTTCTTGTCATTATTCCCTAAACAATAGTGTTAACTACTTACATAGCATTTATATTGTATTAGGTACTATAAGTAATCTAGAGATGATATGTGTAGGTATATGCTAGCACCATGGCATTTTATATAACAAAGGACTTGAGCATCCATGGATTTTGGTATACACAGGGGTCCTTGAACGAATCCCCTTTGGATACCGAGGGATAACTGTATGTGTAGTATGCATGTGTGTATAAAATCTTCTAAAAAGTTAGATTGGCAAACTCATTCCTCTTGATTATAGTTATAATTCCTCAGTTCTTATTGTGGGATATGGTTTTTATAGTGATAAGATGTGAACTTTGTTACACTATGAAAATGTAATAGATGATTTCTGGGTTGTTTTTTTTTAAACCATCCTACCACCGGATCAAAATATATGCCTTTGAACTAGGCTGAGATATCCATAGCCTGGTCCTCTGTTACCAGTGACATGATAAAGTTAATATAAAATTCTAAGATTCAGGATGGGATTCTCCAATTTATTTTAATATCCATGACAATATATAGGAAGAATAGAGATGTTTTTCAGAAATGCCTGAGTTTATGACTTTCAGCTGATGTGTTAAATTATACATGAAAGCAATCTAGTATTGGGTAACAGTCTTGAATTTTGATATTTATGGTCTTAGGCAGATGAGTAGTTATTTGGTTTTATGGTAGCCCAAGATGCTAGGTAAGCTATTAGGATAATGCTTTGGCTACTAAGTTCCAAATCATGCTTCAAAGAGTCCAGGCCCACGTTTAGATTTTCTGTTCTGCAGGATTAAGCCTGTACATCAGTATCTTTTATGGATATGTATCCAGTGACTTTAATAACCCTCTAACCTTACTAGTACTCATCTCTGTTTGCTTTATCTTTTTAAAAAAATCTTTTAGCAGATATTAAATTAAAAAGAAAGGGTGAAATGTAGCCTACTCGTGGAAAAAATTATTTTATCATCTACAATTTTATTTCTTTAGCATAAAGAATCTCCAGCATCTTGATGCTATATTTAGATATCTCCTTATCAATGTTCTACAATGGGAATTCTTAGTAAAACACTGGGCATTTGTGTGGGCGAGGGGTGGCAAAGTATATTTAACATAAAAGTTGCCATTACAGCCGTTTTTTAAGTATTCGATTCAGTGGCATTAATTACATAACAGTATTGTGCAGCCATTACTACTGTTTCAAAATCTTTGCCATCACTCCAAACAGAACCTCTGTAACCATTAAGCAATAATTCCCCATTCCTCCTCTCCCACCCCCCAGCCCCTAGTAACCTTTATTCTATAATAGTTAAGTAGAATTATATAGTATCATACAGTACTTGTCCTTCTGTATACCTGGTTTATTTTACTTAGCATGTTTTCAGGGTTCATCCATGTTGTAGCATATACTCCTTTTTATGATTGAATAATATTGCATTATATGCACATATACACACACACACAGACACACACACCCCCCACACACACACACACACTCTCTCTCTCACTTTATTTTGTTTATCCATTCATCTGTTGATGGACATTTGGGTTGTTCCACCTTTTGGTTATTACGAATAATGCTGCAACATATTGGGCATTTTTGTCTGTGGTGTTTGATGGTCTTTAACATATCTTTAAATAAAGAAGCATTTCTAATATTTGTTTCTTTACTATAAAATATAAAATATTTTCATTCTTAATAAGGTAGAGAAATAAATTCACTACTTTTATGTTAGTCCTGATTAAAAGATAAGATTAAGTGTAGTGAGACTATGTCATCTAAGTTTTATCATGCCTCCTAACGTCTTTTTTTTTTTTAATTTCAAAATATTAAGGAGGTACAAACATTTTTGGTTACATGGATCACTTTTGTTATGCTTCCTTCAGTCATGGCTATAAGTGTGCCCATCACCCAAGTATTGTTCACTGTACCTGTTAGGTAGGCTTTCACCCCTCCCCTCCACTCTTAACTCCCTGCTTGATTTCCACTGAGTTTTACTTCCCTCTGTGCACACGTGTGATCATTCGTTAGTTCCAATTTAATAATGAGTACATGTGGTGTTTGGTTTTCCATTCTTGAGATACTTTACTTAGGAGAATGGTCTCCAGTTCCATCCAGGTTAATACAGGAGGTATTAGTTCACCGTTTTTTTTAATGGCTGAGTAGTACACCATGGTATACATATACCACATTTTATTAATCCACTCATGTATTGCTGGGCACTTGGGTTGATTCCACATTTTTGCAATTGTGAATTTTGCTGCAAGAAGCATTTGAGTGCAGGTGTCTTTTTGATAGAAAGACTTCTTTTCCTTTGGGTAGATATGCAGTGGTGGGATTGCTGGATCTAATGGTAGGTCAACTTTTAGTTCTTTGAGAAATCTCCATACTCTTTTCCAAGGAGGTTGTACTAATTTTCAGTCCCACCAACAGTATATAAGCATTCCTTTCTCTCCTCATCCATGCCAGAATCTATTGTTTTTGGACTTATTAATAAAAGCCATTCTAACAGGGGTAAGGTGATATCTCATTGTGGTTTTAATTTGCATTTCCCTGATGATTAGTGACATTGAGCATTTTTTTTATATGTTTACTGGCAATTTGTCTATCTTCTTTTGAGAAGCTTCTGTTCATGTCATTTGCCCACTTTTTAATGGGGTTGTTTGGGAGGTTTATTTTTGCTGATTTGCTTAAGTTCTTTGTAGATTCTGGTTATTAGCCCTTTATCGGATGTATAGTTTGTGATTATTTTCTCCCATTCTATAGGTTGTCTATTTGCTCTATGGATTGTTTCCTTAGCTGTGCAGAAGCTTTTTAGTTTAATCAAGTCCCATTTATTTATTTTTGTTGTTGCCGTGATTGCCATTGGGGTCTTCTTAGTAAATTCTTTGGCTAGACTGATATCTAGAAGAGTTTTTCGTACATTTTCTTCTAGAATTCTTATGGTTTTGTGCCTTACATTTAAGTCTTTTGTCCATCTTGAATTAATTTTGTGAGTGGTGAGAGATAGGGGTCCT